ATTATACCCATAAGGGATGAGTCGAGACTAATTAACCTCCATTAGTACCCGAATGAGACTAGTTGGGACTAATTAATACCCAATTGTACCCGATTGAGAGTAATCCCGGAATACTCTCTTTAGAGATTAGTCGCACAATTTTTTGCAGGGTAATCATGCTCTTAAGCAAATAGTCGCACATTTGCATATTTCGATAAAATTTTTGATTTATGTCTATTGAAAACATATCCCACACGTTCTTCAAAAGGGACACAACTAAAAAAAATATAAATTAGATAGATTTTTTTGCATGAATCAATTCCAATTAATGCAAATAAATAATAGCGTTTAAATTTTTTGTGCTTGGGATACGTTTAATATTTTAGTGTTTTCTAAGAATTGTTTTTATATTTTGAAACAACTTTTTTTCTTTGTATATTTTCTTCAATATCAGAGCTATTTGCCCCTACCATTAGTATTGCCCGCTAATGTTTACAGCGCGAAGAATAATAGAGTTACTCAGTGTCTTTAAATCGCGTTAAAACGTCTGTACTGAATATTCATCCACTTCAACCTTCCACTCGAACAATTGGCCGTGTAAACGTTGCAAACCCTCAACTTTGGTGAAACAATTTTATAAAGGGAGTGTAACCCAATTGCGCATTTGCTCAATCGACCGAATAAGCAAATATTTTTTTTTTATCCCAATCACGAAAAACAATTTGTTAAAAATTTTCAATGGAAGTTCGCTGTATTGTACCAATCGTGTGACTCAAAAAAAAAAAAAATTGTTGTCCCAAGTTTTTAATTTTTTACCAATAGCCCAATATAAAAAAATGTACCAATCAGTACAGATGTACCAATTGTGTGACACTGCTTTAACGCAGTCGGATCTGATTTTTTTTTCAAACAACGGAATTCCATATGAAAGAACGTAAATCTATTATACGTTCTTAGACATTTCCTGTTGCTAGGCTATTAATTTAACCTAAGTTTATAACTTTATATAAGGATTTTGGTGGATAAATGCATAAATTTCAGCAAAATTCCATCCTGACAGGTTACCAGGTGATCGCTTTTACTACGAACACATAAAAAGTAAATGAACACAATGAACGAGGTAAGAATGAAACGAAACCACCTTATAAGTGAAATAATAAACAATTTTATCCAATTACCCTTAATGGGAAGGTGCCTCTGCCCGGCTGGTTGATGTCCTCGGTAAGACAAGAGCTGACATCACCGCCATCCAAGAAATGCAATGGACGGGGCCAGGAAAAGTAAGTGTGAAGCCTTGCGACGTCTACTACAGTTGCCACGTAAAGGAGCGCAAATTCGGTGTTGGATGCCCCGACGGAAGAGAAGGACGAGGCGTCCAAGGATCTCTGCCCGCGACACGATGTTAAAATCGTGCTCGGCGATTTTAATGCCAAGGTGGGTAAGGAAGGGAGCTTTGGCGCCACTGTCGGAAAATTCAGCCTCCACGACGAAACGTCCGATAACGGACTGAGGCTGATCGACTTAGCCGGGACCCGAAACATGGTAATATGTAGTACTAGGTTCCAGCATAAGAACATCCACCAAGCTGCATGGCTGTCTCCTTGTTATAAATAATAAAATTGGGTTAGCACTGCTGCAATAGGATGATAAAACTTAAAAATTAGGTAATAATCTCACCACCAAATACTTACTTAGTAGACAATGGTCGAAAGGTCATGGAGTGAGGGTCGATTTCAGTCGACTTCAGCGCAAGTGAATTCGTTTGGTGTACCTAACGAGACCAATACCAAATCAACATCATCCACGCAATACCAGAATGGGCTTGGTCAATTATCATTTTATAAACTACTTTGCCTTTAGTCGATGGAGGAGACCAAAGCTTCACACAAGTAGGCCATATAGGGTTGCTGTAATACCATATGGAGTTACCGATCCTATTTTATTTTAAAAAGCTTATTCGCTTACAAACCTTCTTCTAAATTCCACCTGTGAAATCTCTCGAAAGAATGATTTGCGAAGAATGCCTAATTTTTTCCACTTAGAGCCAGGTAATGGCATTAAAAGGGTTGTACATCTTCTTTAGTTCTATTTACAACGAAAATGAACCGAAGTCTCCACCTAAACCAATTAAGTAGTGGCTCGTAAAAATCCTCACGAAGGAGGGTGTTTCTTTTCTGTTTAAATTTAAGAGTAACAAAGGCCAAGGAATTATGAAGCTTTTACCAAGAAGAAAGGTTGTAACAGTGTTCAAAGAACACCACGGTATCTTTTGTGATTTCTAACAAACTGTTTAAAAATGGCCCGTGGTATGTTTACTTCGC